CAACGCTGGCAATGTCGAAGTCAGCCCAGGCCAGCCCAGGCCAGGCCAGACACTCCACCCTGCCCAGCACCCAGCCCCAGATTCAAAATGTGGTTCCAAAAAAAAAACTGCCCAAAACTTTCGCCCAAAACGTTTCGGTATTGGTTGGGCATGTGTCCCGTTGTAAGCACAAGTGCCTGTTATCAGGTGAAATGGATGAGAACGTCCATATCGGCCTTCGCTTTGCGTACATTGGCCACAATGCGCCATGGCAGAAGCCCCGATTCGGTCCATGCGAATGTTGTCGGCCGTGTTATATCGGACTCGAGTGATATGGCACTGTATGCTGATGCGAATGCCTAGTGGCCTGAAACTCGTATGATGTTGCGTGTTCACCTGATTTCGACGGTTCTGTACTAGTAGAGACAAGCGTGGATCGAGGTAATGGACGTCCCCAACAAGTGGCCTTTGGAGGAGTTCCTGAAGACGATCCGCAGGTTCCTGGCACGGCATCGGCTGGCCAGGACGGGACCGTAGCGCGGGTCTGTCACGTTTCCGTGTCCAGCTCGGTCCATCTGATTTTGCTGATCGCGAGGCCAAAAACGCACCGCATCGCCACAATGCTGCTGCCGCGATTCCAGTTGGACTTCACGCCTCAGTCGAGAATGGATGCATTGTCTCATGTGGCGACTTCGCCTACAGCGAGATGTCGTAGTAGATATCACATGATATCCGCGTCATGAAACACGGGTGGTTCCTCCATCTCAGACTGCCTCGTGGTTTGTGTGTCGAGTCGTGCACATGGCAGCAATACATTTCACGGTGTGTGCATGATGATGCCACGGTATTTGTGTCGACGCTTCCTTGGCGTCTGTAGCCCTCAGCCCCAGCGGGACGGGACCGAGGAGCAGACGTTGTTGGATGCCAATGACGAGATGGGAAGGGTATGGCTGCCTCCGGGCCGGCACGTCCTTGGGGCGGAGGCAGCCCGTCTTCTCCGCCCCCATCTGTTGGGGGCGGCCGTGCGGCCGCACGACAGGAGGCTGGGCTTGCCCTTTCTAGAGTGATGTCATGAATACATGCTGGAGGTTCAAGACCCTCAGCGTGGCGTACGAGGCTGCGAGCTACCTGCGCTATGTAGCCAAGACCCATCTCAAGCACAACGGGACCAGCAAGTGGCGGCGGATGACATCGGAAGACCTGCAGCGCGCCCTCACTCGAAGACGGTGGTCCGCGATCAAGTCGCTTGGCTTAAAACACGGCCGATCGTCTGTTGGTCCAGAACATCAGTTCTGCGGAACGCTAGCTCACAGGAGCCTGGGCTACCTGCTGCTGTCGCCGCTCCCGTGAGTGCTCTTTCTGCGCATAGACTGAAAAGGTGTGGAGTTTCTCACTATTTGTCTTGATATTGAATGTTAACATCTCGATCTGGCAGCTAGCGAACATTCGAATGAATTGAATATGACCGAAATTTGCTCTCCGGTGCCTGGGTGATAATACTGTCAAGCCTGATGTGACCTAATTTGCGGTCTGGGAAAGATTGGGGCCTGAGCCTGGGCCTTGTTCGGTCTAAATTGGGAGCTGGAGGAGTGGGGGGTTAAACGCCTCGAACTGGTGAGGCCTTCCGATACCTGTTGTCCAAGCCTTTGGTATTCACCAGGGTTTATCCAACGTAATATATTTTCCGAGTGGTTTCCAATGTCGTTTTTTTTGCCGGGCTTGGCAGCAGATTCCACATGCTTTCCTGAGTTGATGAGTTGTGGACAAGCTTGCTGACTGCAGCACGGCGCAGACCCAGCCCAGCCCAGCCCAGCCCAGCCCAGCCCAGCCCAGCCCAGCCCAGCCCGCAGCCCAGCCCAGCCCCAGCCAGCCCAGCCCAGCCC